CGGTCCTGCTAGCTGCCTGCCCCATGCTGAGGGCTTCGCATCCTGGGTAACTAGACTACAAGTCCCCAGGTCTTAAGTCATCTTGAGTTTCCACCAGTGTTGTCTAGTTGTTCGAGTGTTGACTTGAAAACACTTCATAAGGAGTTTGCCTTGTTAACGTTACTCCACCATTTTCTAGTTTCCTCAATGTTAAATATCCAACATGTGCAGGACCACATCCTACACACAAGTTAAATATAAAGAACTCAGCTACTCCACTCCCTGATGGACAGCCCCACTACTGCACATCTGTCATTTAAATGCTCCAAGCCACTGGTTCATGGTTTTTCATGTGCACTTTCAGTACCCACATCTCTGTGCATTGCAGCTTTGTCCCCTCTATCAGTGCTCTCGAATTAATATTTCAATTAAACACCTGGACATTCCTAATTAATTGGTTCATACATAGGAACCCTGCAGTATTACTCAGCTCTGGTGCTGGATAAACTCACATCACCAGGCACATCTTGGCCATTTAGATAAACACAGAAAAGTCAACTAGGGCCTCCACATTGACAACCAAATGATATATGTCTAAATTATGGAAACTCTCTGACATGCACTCCCCTAGCATCGTATGTGATTGTTTAGGGGTACAGATATGCATTTTTCCCATCCGTCTTGAGCTGGAAATTGGGGAAGGATTAGCGAGGATCAGTTATTAATCAAATCTTGGCTATCTGGGGCCGAGTCTTAGAGAAGTCATGGTCTAGCTTCCTGGGTGTCACTCAGGGCTAGGAATCGGGCTTCCGGCCAAGAATGACAGAACGGACTGGTTCCCAGGTTGCTAAGGGTAGAGGAGGGATTCGATTCCTGGGCAGGAGCTGCACGTCTGGGGTCAGTGTCACTTTTAAATACGGTGTGTCCATTGTCGGGCCATCTGCACATTCAGTCCCTGTCCGTGCACTCTAAGACTGGAGATGAAGAAAGTGACAACCTTCTCCACTCGTCTGACACACACACATCAAAGAGAAACCGAGTACCGCCTCGCTCCAGGCTGCCCAGGAGCCCTCTCCGCAGCAGCGAGGCAGCAATGCCCCATACATCGTCCACTCACCCGCGCAGGGTCCATCCACGCCGCCGCCATCATGGGACCCTGTGCACGGAGCGGGGCCGGGACCGGCAGCGACGCAGGCGGGTCCCGCCGGCTCGGCCGACTGCCACCTCTCCCCTGACCCGGGAGGTGTGACCGCGGCTGACTTTCCCACTCCCCGGGCGTCGGGTGGCTCACGGCTCCTTCAAAGGCGCGGGGCTGAGCGGTAGCCGTCTCTCTGCTCTTCTTGGAAGAGCTTCACTGGAGGCGGCCACAGAACAGCGACGCCCTCCCCACAGCTGGCGTGGACGGAACCGTCGCACACGAATGACGTAGGACCAGGAACCCGGAAACCCCGCCGCCACGGGAGCGGACGCCAGTGCACAGCCTTCTGGGCAGTGTAGTTTGGGCTCTACAAACGCGCCCCGGAAGAACGTGTTCCGGAGCGGGTCCTCCTTGTCCTAAAAGACTTACCAGACCCAGAGCTCGTCGTCACACCCCCATCTTCACGGCGAACACAACGCGAGGGGACAGAGGAGGAAAGGCGAGGCCGTCCCTGTCCCGCCCGGGGAAGGCGAGGCTCGGCGGCGGGGACCTCCGCCCGCGATCAGGACTCGTGGTCACCAGGCCCTTGGGTCGGCTGGTGACGTCCCCCGTGCGCCTCACCTCCGGGAGATGCCCCTGGACGGGAGACGGATGCTCCAGCTGTGACGGCACCGTCGGGGCCAGGACGCCAGAAGCCCCCTCCGACGCGGCCCCTCTGAGGGGCCTCCTGTGGGCCAGCGCCACGCGCTGCGGCGCCTTGACGCGCGGATCGGGCCCGGGAGCCGGAGGAGCGGCGTGCGAGCCCCGGAGCTGGGGAGGCCGCGCGTGACCCCAGGCTGGAGCCCGGCGCTGCGGAGTGTCTGTCCCACGCGGCCCCTCGCCCTGCGTCTGAGCGCCGGCGGAGGGGTCGTGCGCGGACGCGGAGTGCGGGAGTGGTTGGTCGCCGCCGCCGCCTCGAGTCTCCGCGAGGGCGAGAATAGGTGGAGACGGGAACGGACCGGGGCGAAACTGGAGCCAGCCCGGCGCTGAGGGGGTGCAAATGAGAAACCCACAAAACCGTGTTAGAAGCTAACATTCTTTTCAGAGTTATATTAAGCAAAATCTTACATGTCGCCATCAAGGACTTATATAGTTTTCTTCTCATGACTATGAGAGTGAGAGAATAACGCCTCACTTGGAATGAGTTGAGAAGACATAGGGTCGTGAAGAATGGAAACTGTGTGCAGAGATATCAAGAGATTTAAGTTTATGGACTATTACTCAGCCACGAGAAGGAATGAAACGGTGCCATTTATAACGACATGGATGGAGCTAGAGTGTATTATCCGAAGCAAAATAAGTCAGAGAAAGACAAATACCGTATGATTTCACTCAGATGTGGGATTTAAGAACCAAAACAAATGATCACGGAGGGAAAAAAAAGAGGAAAACTAAGAAACGCTATTAACTATAAAGAACAAACTGATGGTTGCCAGAGGAGAGGTGGGTGGGGGAGAGGTTCAGTAGGTGATGAGGATGAACAAGTGCACTTTAAAAAAGAAAAGATTTTATTTATTTATTTGCGAGAGAGAGAGAATGAGAGAGAGAGAGCATGAAAGGGGGGAAAGTCAGAGGGAGAAGCAGCCCTTGGCTGAGCAGGGAGACCACTGTGGAACTCAATCCCAGGACTCCAGGATCATGGCCTGAGCGGAAGGCAGCCGCTCAAACAACTGAACCACCCAGGTGCCCAGGAGTGCACTTCTGATGAGCATTGTGTTATGTATGAAAGTGTTGAATCACTATATTGTACACCTGAAACTAATATTACACTGTATGTTAGTTGGAATATAAATAAAATCTAAAAAAATTTTCAAGGTAGAGAAGAGCATAATGACTGAATCAAGGATTAAGATGCAGTTGATTTCCTAGAAGAAGATGCTTTTTATAAAAGGAGGTTGTGGAGAAGTGTGGCTTAATTAACACACAAGGAACAGTGTGATCCATCATTGGGCATAGTAATTTGACCAAATTGGAAAAGGCATTCTTCTTTTCACATGTGGCTGACACCATTAAATTAAATGGTTTGAGGGTAGGGTGTACATCAGGTACCAAAGTTAAGATTTTTATATTCTGTGTCCTGGGTGGCAGAATGTCCAGAGTAAGTGGTGAGAAAAACTATGTAGCTATTGGAGACTTTGAAATCCCTACTGTAGAGCATGTCTGAGAGTTTTCACCATTTATACACATGTCACCTCGTAGTCAATGTGGAAGCCCTCATTGACTTTTCTCTGCTTAATCTACCTCCCCAAATATGTGCCCAGTGATGTGTTTATCTAGCACCAGTACTGAATAGTCTTGCAGGGTTCCTATGTACAAACCAGTGAGTTTATTAGGAATTTCCAGGTGTTTAATTGAAACACTGATTTGAGAGCACTGACAAGACAAAGCTAGAAAGCACAGAAATATGGGCACTGGAGGTACAGATGAAAAACCGTGAACTAATGTCCTGGAGCATTTAGATGACAGATCTGCGGTAGTGAGGCTGTCTGCGAGTTGGAGTGGCTGAGTTACTTCTGTTTACTTAGTGGGTCTGGTCACATGCAGAGACATGGTCCTGCATGTGCTCGACATTTCATATTGAGGAACCCATGTAGAATATAGTGAAGGGAGTGATATGTACTTCATATAAAGTATTTTTAAGTCAGGAGACACAGCGGTGAAAACAATGACTGCGATGAGCAGAGAACATGCTTAAGCTCCCAACTGTGTTTATTCTGGTGCAGTCAACTTATGGATGGAGGGAGTAGCTGACACAGGAGGCTGTAACAGGATACAGGGAAAAGCTGGAAGAGTTCCCTAAATTGTTGCAAGTTGGAGGAGGTCTTTTCAGATGTGATGTTACATTTATTATTAGGCATGATTTACTTGGTGCAATCAGAATATGACACACGACATAGGTGCTAGTGAATTCATTGAGAATTGAGCGGCACTGATGTACAGTGAAACTTCTTGTCTCAGAGATGGTAGCACGCTGGAGGTGAGTATGAAGAGGGTAGGCCTCTGGGCTGATCAGTCCTGGCTTACAAATGGCATACTCATGAGAACATGGGGAATAGTACACGGAGTCTAGAAGCAAACGTGAGAGGGGGTAGGTTGTACACCACCAGAGTGGTTATCTGCACAAGGCAGTAACTAGTTTTCTTTTCTTTTTTTAAGATTTTATTTATTTATTTATTTGATAGACAGAGACCACAAGTAGGCAGAGAGGCAGGCAGAAAGGGGAGGAAGCAGGCTCCCCGCTGAGCAGAGAGCCCAATGCGGGGCTCGATCCCAGGACTCTGGGATCATGACCTGGGCCGAAGGCAGAGGCTTTAACCCACTGAGCCACCCAGGCGCCCCAGTAACTAGTTTTTAAGGTGAGTGGTTGAGTCACCATCCTAGCCCAGAGGGGACATCATCTTGGGAGGCTCTCATGGGAAAGAGCTTCTACAAGAAATAAAGATTCTACCCAGTCACACACCAACTCAAATAACTATAAAGAACTGCTACAAAATGATTCAAGTTTTATTAATTAAAATTGTGAATCTAAAACCAACAAAAGACTGATAAAATAGTAGACCCAGGAGAGCTTTCTGGGCAACCACAATGAAACAGGTGCACATAGGGCTCAAGAAGCCATCTGAATGGATGGAGGCAACACCCTCTGAGAGTGGGCCCGGACCCAGGGGTGCTCCAGGATCTGGGCTAAGGGAAGCCGCTCCGAAGGCTGGTACCTGAGAAGCCTGGAGATCAAGTCCTGGGCCCCCAAAGGTAATGATGGGGGAAACCTTACATCGACCTGATGACGCCAGAGGAGAAAAAGAGAACATCATTAATTTCTGTGCTGTGTGTTTTTTCCATTGCTTAAGACCCTTGAAAGCACCGTTCTGGATCTTACTAGACAATCTTTGCGTGCACCACAGGCTCTGCAGGCCTGGCTCCCAAATGAATGCCCAGAGTGTAGCCATCTTACCTTGAGGATGCGTTGGTATGTCTCAATATGGGAAGGACTCTCAAAGGGTGGACTTCCCACCAGCAGCTCATAACACAGCACTCCAATGCTCCACAGATCTACTTTCTCATTATATGTTCTCCTTTCAATAATTTCGGGGGGCAAGTAGTCCAGAGTCCCACACGCTGTCTTTCTCCTAGAGGACACCAGGGAAGGGAGCACTGTGCAGAGGCCCAGAACAAGGGTAACCCTCCTTTTCTAGATTCCAGTGAGAAGGGAGACCCTCAAAAGTCCAAGAAGTCCCCTCCTGAGCATGGGAGTTTGGAAACACTAAGTTTTTTTTAAGATTTTATTTATTTATTTGACAGACAGAGATCACAAGTAGGCAGAGAGGCAGGCAGAGAGAGAGGAGGAAGCAGGCTCCCCGCTGAGCAGAGAGCCCGATGTGGGGCTCGATCCCAGGACCCCGAGATCATGACCCGAGCCGAAGGCAGAGGCTCAACCCACCAAGCCACCCAGGCGCCCCATGGAAACACTAAGTTTTAATAAGGATCAAGGTTTAGGGACGGCCAATACTGGGACCCACCAATTCTGTATTTTGGAATTATTCATGTAGTTATACGGTTATGTAGCTCATAATCCAAGATGTTTTCAGATATGTTGGGCATCAACAGAGATTTTGAACAAAGAGACAGTGCATCAAGAAGGACCAATTAGGGGCGCCTGGGTGGCTCAGTGGGTTAAAGCCTCTGCCTTCTGCTCAGGTCAAGATCTCAGGGTCCTGGGATCGAGCCCCACATCGGGCTCTCTGCTCGGCGGGGAGCCTGCTTCTTCCCTCTCTCTCTGCCTGCCTCTCTGCCTACTTGTGATCTCTATCAAATAAATAAATAAAATATTAAAAAAAAAAAAAAAAGAAGGACCAATTAAAATTCCGGGAGTTATAGAGCAATGAATCTTACCTACATGGGTACTTACTGGGAAAGTCACATGTTACCAGAGATCAAAAGATAAAAGGTAAGGTCGAGCTACATTCTTTGTCTACAATTGCACATTAAATATATGCATTTGAAAAAAGCAATACTCAAATACAAAAGCAAGTTTGCATCTTGCATTTGGGTCTTACACACAGCATGAATTAAATTGGATCATTCCTAAGTGGCCCATACCACCACCACCAGACCTACCTCAGAGATGGGGTGTGCACAGACCAGCCAAAGTCTGCAATCTTCACCTCACCCCTGAGCCCCAGCAGTAGGTTCTCTGGCTTAATATCCCTGTGGATCACCTTTTTTTCGTGGCAGTAGATCAGAGCATCTGCCACTTCCTCCATTATCTGAGTGAGCAAAGAAAGAGCTGTTTGGAAATGAAGCCTCCCCCCCTCACTTCATACAAGACAAAATACTCCCCATGCAGTTATAGTTGTAGTGGAATCTTTGTTTCATGCTTACTGACCCCGTTACTTCCTTAACGGCACCACAATTCTTGGTGGGGGAGGGATTCCTCTCCCCGTTTTATGTGGTCTTATAGGATGGATGCTGAGGTGACAGAACCTCCCCTTTGCCCTAGAACAGCAAGTAGCTGGACACCAGCCCTGTGCTGAGCTAAATATATAATCTCCCACAGGACCTGAGGCCTGCAAAAATGATACAAAAGCAGGAGGAAAGCTACAAGATCATTCCATCAGCCAGCTGACCCAGCACTTCTGCTGGTTTGACTGTTGCTCTGATCCCCCATCTGGAACACTCTAGAAATCTCTTGCTTCCTATTTCTAAGCCAGTTCACTCACTTACCCAGGGAACCCCTTCCTAGGCTTTTAACATGCTTCTCTGCATAAGGTAGCAGAGTCAGACGGTCTTGCTTACCCTGATTACTAATATCCTGGAGTGATTAGGGCATCCACTGTGAAGTTATGGGCTGTATATGTCATTACATAAAAGGTACAGAATTTGAAACAAAGAAAAAAGAAGAACGTGGACAATAATGACAGCCAAAAGCAGTGACCGCCCCTCCCAACCAGTCCATAGTAAACTCATGGGCCCAAGAGCCCCCAGAACCCTGCCTCACCGTCACTGTGCGCTGTTCGTCTAACGTGTGGCTCTTCTGCAGCTCCTTGTAGAGCTCACCCCTTGGAGCATATTCTAGAATCAGGTACACGCGGCGGGCATCATGGAAATAGTTGTAGAGGCGCAGGATATTGGGGTGTCTGGAGAAGGGAAAGAGTAAGGGTTAGACTCATAAGGCCCAACTCCTGATGCTATCACAAGTGACTGGTCACACAAGGGGCAAGTTGTGCTGGGACCAGAACAAAGCATATTCCTGAGTGCGAGAGAGGACAGGAGCAAGCAGCAGGATCTGGGTGCCTGAAACAGGGAGGATGACACGGTGTGAGCGCAATGAACTGCAGAAAAAAATCCTCGAGGGGCCTATTGGAGGGTGGTTTGGGGGGACTGCCGGGCCCAGATGCCAAAGATGGAAGAGAACACAGAATGAGAAGCCGGTGCCGGATTTTCCTGCAGCGGGGCCTCACTGCAGGTGCGCCTGGATTTCAATTTCCCTGCGCAGCTGGGGCTCCAGTCCTTCCTTTTCGATCTGGGACTTGAAGAGGACTTTCAGGGCCACGATAAAATGGCTTTCCTTGAGCCGAGCCAGGTACACATTCCCAAATTTCCCCTTGCCCAGAGGACGCCCGATTTCAAAGTCATCCACTGCGAAGCGCCGCCTGCGAGGAAAGGAAGAAAAGAGCCTTATGGGAGGGAGGTGGAGGGCAGTCGAGGACTCCTCCTTCCCTGGACCCCACCGCGGCCCCTGCCCGTCCTCATCCGGTCCACGAGCCACCACTAAACTCGCGCGGCTTGCTCGTCGCTTGTCGCGCCACTCCCGTCCCCCTGCAGCGACCGCGCCGCTGACACTCACACGGGCGTGCCACTGAGCTCCACGCGGCCCGCTGCAGCGACGGGGGACGGAGAGCGGTCGGCCCTTCCTCCTGCGCTGCGTCCGCCCCCGGCCGCAGACACCAGCCCTTCGCGACGTTTCCTGCGGTCCCGGGTCCTCTTCTGCTTCCCCGCGGGCTCAGCTCGGTTCGAACTCATCACGGCGTCTGGTCGGCTCCCGAGAGGAGACGACGGTGACCGGACGCCTTCCTCAGCCCACCGGAAACGTCCTGAAGGGCGGCGAAGGCCCGCAGCGTGCAGGCGCCGCTCCTCAGACGCAGAGCCGCACACACACTCGCAGGGAAAGCCGCGCGCCTTGCAGCCTGGGACCCGCCGACACCGACGAACTCCCCGCCCGCCAGCGCGAGGCCCTTTATCCTAGTGCCCCCCATTGGCTGAGCCTGATTGGTTAAAGCTTCCGAGCGCGGAGGCTCCTGGGAGCTTCCCATTGGTCGAGGCTTCTGAGCGCGGAGGCAGCGTGCCCACTAGGAGAGATGGAAATGGCGGGCGCGTGCGCAGGGCAGGGTCCGGTGGGACACCGGGAGCTGGGGCGTCGGGGACAGAGAACACCTTGGAAAAGGGGGGACGAACAGAGGGCAGCCCAGAGTGTATGATGCTCACGGGTCTCCATAAATGAATACCTACAGAAATGCACGAGAGCGCGAGTCCAGTAATGAACTGACCCGGGGCACGTGGGAATGAAGAGACGCCAGCCGCGGGAAGCGGCCGGGGTTCCCGTGTGAAGCCCGCAAACCACATGCGCGCCCCACTGCACCGCCCGCGCTTGAAGGTCGTGCCGGGTTTGGGCCACTCCCCAGGGCCCTCCTTCATCATGCTCCCTGCAATTTCGGCCTCCTCCCCCATTGTCCTGCAGCTCTTGGCCTCCCCACTCCACCCCACAACCCCTGCAGCCTCCCCTAGGCCTGCAGGCCCACTCGGCGTGGTGACACACAGCCTAGTCAACTCTTGCCTCATGTATTTGTTGGACCAGCAAAAAAATTTTTACCAGCCAAAAAAACAGGTTTATTTGGAAATAATAGAGAATTACAATTAGGGACAGGAATCTACAGCAAAAACCATAGGCTAGTCCCTCAAACAGGAGAGGAACACAATTTGCGGAGAAGGGAATTTGGGAGCAGTTGTTTTGAAGGAAAGTCTGTTGGAGAAAAGCAACAGTTAAGAAAAGACGGTTTCCCATTGCTTGAGTTACAGGGGTGGTTAGTTTCTTGCAGGAAAAGCAATGTACATCTTTTCTCCTTGGGGCCTGTTATAGATTATTCTTTCCTATGGAGGATTATGCTGTTGGGATCTGTGATTGACATCCCTAGGCAGTATGTGAGAGCTTCCCGCGAGGACTCCTGACTCCATTTTAGCGAAATTTCCTTTTATTTTCATAGACCCTGTCATCAGTTTGCATCTGGAGTCTCAAATAGTAAAATCAATCCACATGTCTATTTGGCAAATACAGAAGTTCCAGATGCTTTTAAATGGAATTCTTTTAGATAGGTAACAATATAAATTGTTGGAGAAATAGAACTGAAAAAGAAAAAAATCTTCTCCTAACCCAGAAAATCTCTCTGCAAAGGTAGTGGAGAAATAAAAATGTTTATTACTGAGTAAGCCTTAAACCAGAATGGGATGCCTTATCACAGATAATCGCTAAGAGATGGCAAAGTCAGAAAGACACCCTTTCATATAACCAAGCAGATACTAGCTTTCTCATTACATATTTTCAGCGTAGACGGTCATTAGTCCTCATGTAAGAAAACATGACAGCACCAATTGTTACACAATTCATCCTAAATTTACCTAGTAATTGGGCTGGCTATCTGCTGCAACCTTGGCTTTCTATAAGGGAAAACAAACGTCTCATTACCTGAGGGTAGATGGTAGTGTTAACCTTAAAAATACAAGTTACCTTAGCAGCAAAAATGGGTTTATTTGGAAATAGCATAGAACTGCAATTAGAGACACACAAGCTATGGTAAAACCATAGGCAGAGCCAACAAAGAAGTTATTTTACGGAGGAGGAAGAAGTTTGGATGATTGTTTTGAACAAAATCCTTTGGAGCAAAGCAACAGTTCAAGGTGATGACCGTTTCTCAATGGCAGAGTTGCAGGAATGATTGATCTTATGAGAGATCCAGTGTCCATATACCCCATGGGGGCCTAGAGTTAGGCCTCCACCTTCCCACAGAAACTGGGACAGAGGGATGCTATCTCCTTTGATGTCAGCATTTCAGAGAGAGCTCCCAAGTCTTCTGAGAAAGACATTTCGGGGTTGGGAGAGCACTGGGTCCCTGAGGGAAAGCAAGAGGGCTAGTGTTAAGGAGGGCGCATAGTGCAGGGAGCACCGGGTGTTACACGCAAACAATGAATCATGGAACACTACAGCAAACACTAGTGATGTACTGTATGGTAACTAACATAATAAAAAAAAATAAAGTCCATTTTGTCCAAAAAGAAAAAAATGGCGGCTAGCATGTCTACAGCAACTGCAGGGATTCAAGCAGGACGAGACGAGTTAGGTAAATGGAGATAAATTGCGTAGAACCTTGTCAGCCTTCGTAAGGAGGTTGCAGTGTGCTCCAGAATGTGTTCTAAAATGCACCTGTTATTTGTTTAATCAGATATGGTAACGCAGTGGACCTGAAAATGATTGTCAGGAAGAAGTTTATGCTTACAGATCCCTACAAGTGAGTCAGGGAATCCTACCAATGGGAGATCCTGCAGTGTATGAACAGAGCCCTCAGTTCCGGGATTCCCCATGGAGGATTTCCATGGGGATCCACTCTCAGCCAGCCGGCCAGGATGGTAGCAAGCACAAAACAGTTTATTACAGACAGTACGCTGTCAAAGTGGGAGAGAAGGCTGGCCCAGAGGTGACAACTGCCTCAGGGATCTTTTCTTTTTAAATAAGTGGGGGTCAGGGCTCATGGAGGGAGTAATCTCTAATGGAGGCTACTTCCAATCATTTGGGGGACGACTCCTACTGGTTGGGAGGGCGAGTTTTTGATCCTACAAGATTTGTACCAGAACCCTCCTTGCACCTTCCCCCATAGGGGAGACAAAACCACAATGCCAGTGCATTATAATGACCCTAGGGTCACCTGGTGCCAGAGGGGAAGAGGAGAGCACAGGTTCTGCACCTGTGACTCCTTGTCTGTCAGCCCTGGGGTGTTGGAAGCCAGTCAAGGTTGTTGTGACCTCGGGCTTCTAGCGTGTAACCTTTCACCACCCTTGCCTCCAGCTCATGTCTGTCCATTCTGTAAGGCACACCTTACAGGTGGTATGGGGACGCAGCAGCAGGGTCAGGGGGCCGCAGCTGTGATGGAGAAAGCACGGCCCAGCACACAGACTGTGTTTTTAGCAGGAAAGGCAAGGTAAGACAGGTCATCAGTTTAGGATTGACTTGTTTGCACAGTTGGAGCATACATGTCCCACTCCCTGTCTGGTCCCTGTCCCCGGTGTTTTAGGGCAGAGGAATGCTGCCTCCTGGAGTTTAGGAGCCAGAAAGGTGGTTGGTTTGCAAATGAAAAGTGAGGTCCTGGAAAAGTTGTTACCTAGTCCAGGGAGGAGCAGCGTCTCCCGTCAGCAGGCCCCACATGCAGGACCGCAGAAAGTCAAAAATATATACTTAGTACGCTGTGAAACATAACCATCCTGGGAGGGAGGTGTTGAACTGAGTGGCAACGTAACCTGAGTCATGAATTAGAAGATCAATCTGGATATTGTGTGGAGATTAAACTACAGGAGGGGCAAGAAAAGGGAAGACCTGTTAGGCTGTTTTCCAGATGGGTGAGGATGAGGATATAAATGAAGGCAGTGACAGGGGAGGTGGGTTATCACAAAGTGCGAACAGCTGACCAGA